ACCAACAAAGAAGTGTTTTCAACTGTCCTGGAACAAAACCACCTTGCCTACAAGCCTGACACGCACTTCTTCCACGGAGGGCAGGAGCAGTATAAGACGCTACTTTGAAGAACCCAGGCCAATCAACTCCAGGTGCACATTACTCCTATCTGCCATCTTAGCTTAGACCATCAGGGTCACAATGACCCAGGTGGGAGGGGCACCAAGTAGTAATATGCTAATTGGAGATCTGCGGGCATTTCCCCTTTTAGTTAAGGTTCTGGGGAACAGCAGCACTTCAAAGTGCCTAGAGGCCTCCACTGAGAGCTGCTGAGCTTGTCTCCCATGGGAATTCCCAAGAACAGAGGATCCTGAGCCAAGTAACCATTAGCACAAGCTCTGAGGCCCAAGCCTGGGCATAAGTTATTGCGGCAGGAACTACACTTTACTGACCACCCCTGGAGGCATTTAAATTTTTTTTTTTTTTAACGTTTAGGTTTTACCATAGGGCACATGTGCTCACCCGAGAGAGACAGTGAGAGAGAAAGTGAGTAATCACCCTGAAGAGAAAATACACTACCTAGCTCTGTATTAATCAAAATGACATATTTCAGGGCCCAAATCCAAGTACCAAGATTTACCACCTGGGAACAAGAGCAAAAAATGCCTATCTGTGGCCACCAATAAGGTTCCCCTTCCTAAGAGAACTAGCGCACGTACACATACTCGATGGCACCGTAGGGTTTCTGTAACATGCTGTGTGCGCCGTGTCGGGTTACCCACCTCCCTTTGCTCAATGAAGCACATCCTTAAGGTGGGGGTGACAATCTAAAGGCCTACAGATACAGACAGAGGTAGGCAGGTAGCTGAAAGGAATGAGGCAGGCGAAGTGAATCACACAGACTCAAGGGAGTAGTACATGTTCTGTCCAAAAGAGGCACTGGGTGGGCTCCAGACCATGAGTGCTAAGTGGGAACACAGGCATGGGCTCTGGTCTGATCCAGAACTTCACATTTTCAGGCAAAGTAAAAAAGATGTTTTTTTTTTTCATGAAAAATTCCCAATTCCGGAAACTATACGAGATACATAAAGGCTGTGTGAGGCCTCCTGGGTACAGCCGGTTTATCCTCTCTGCATGCTTTCCACCCCTAAACTCTAGAAACTCCCACCAGGTGCAAGATTGGCCTTCCCCCACCTCTTCCCACAGAGGTTTGGAACCAGAATGCTCTTCACCAAGGCTCAGTGCCAGGACATTGACCACATGGCTTTACTCCTGCCCCCCACTGCTCAGAGCCTCATCAACACCGCATCCTTGAACTGCACAAGGAGCCCCAGACTCCAGAGCTACCCTTGCCCTATCCCTGTTTTGTCTCCATCGCCCCTCCCCAAACTCCTGGGTTCTCCGGATTCATGACTTCGGCAAAATCTCTCCATTTTCTCAGTCTCCTCTAATCACTCTCAACTCTAAGAAGAACCTGGCTTTCCCCTGGAACTGCCTTTTATGGCCCTTCCAAGTGGAAGGTCTTGCTCCTGGGTGTGGATTCCAGACCAGAGGCTCCCCACCGTCCCCCTAAACCTATCTCAAGTCATCAGAGTAGACAGCTCACTACACTGAGTCATCTGTTGACCCTATCATTCCTCCTCTCGCCTCCATAATTTTAGCTCTGGGCTTATCACCATGCTTGGTGGTTACCTAGTGAGGCAGACATCCTCCAGACTCGTTCCTTGACCTCTCTCCTCCCAGTGATCTTGTTCTAGCCAGACTCCCTCCCTCACATGGTCACACCTAGACTGTCTCAGTAACTCCAGCCTCTTTAGAATCTCAATGCTGGGGCCAGCAGATGGTGTGATGGTTAAGGGCGCTGGACTCCCACATGGCTGACCATGGTTCACACCATGGACCTGGTGGCTTTCTTTCTTTCTCAGAGTCCCCATCTTCCTTCTCCGGTCAAAATAAAATAAAATAATAAAGTTCAATAAAATAATTATTAAAAATTAAAAAAAAAAATCTCAATGTCATGGGACCAGCAGATAGTGTAATGTTTCTGAACTCCCACATAGTCAACGGCAGCTTGAGTCCCAGACCTGGCGGCTTCAAACTCATGCTGAGTGCAAGTGCGCATGCCCAAGATCCTGAGATGAGAATGGAGGTGGCCATGCCCCCTGGGGGATGATTTCTCACTTTCTGTCTCTCCAGCAAGCACACACACACCCTATAGCAAAAATCTCTCTCAAAAAAAAAAAAAAAAAATCTCAGTGTAGTGGGCCAGCAGGTGGTATGGGGAAGTGCACTGGACACCCATATGGCCAACCATGGTTTGTGTCCTGGACCTGGTGGCTTGCTTTTTTCCCTCTCTCTGTCCCTCTCAGGTCAAATTAAAATAAGTAACTCTGGGAACAGCAGTTGGTGTAATGGCTATGTTGCTGAGCTCCCACGTAGCCAACTGCAGTTCGAGTCCCGAAACCAGTGCCTTAAACTCACGCTGAGCGAGTGTGCATATATGCCCAAGATCCCAAGAGGAGAATTGAGGAGAAGGGATTGCAGTCTGGCCATCCCCCCTTGCCGAGGGGGGGGTAGCTTTCTGTCTCTCTGTCTCTCTTTTTCTGGGGAGCACATGCGCCCTATAGCAAAAAACCCTCCCCAAAAAAAAAAAAGTAAATAAAGTTAAATAAAATAGTTCTTTGGGGGTAAAAAGAATCTGTGTCACGCATTCACTCACTACCCATCATATTCGATGTTTCCAGTTCATTTCCTCCCAAACCTGAACTTCAAGAATCTGTAGGACCTACCACCTTTCCACTGCCCCTCAGTCCCCTCCTAGCTCCATAGACTAAACTCCTTGGCCAACCCTTACCATCACGCCCTTACACACATGTACTCACTCCTCTCCAGCACACTCATCTGGCAGCACCTGTGCTGCTGTGTGGCTGGAAACACTTTGCTCTCAGCAGGTGACCTTGCTTCCTGAGAAAGCTGAAGCATTCAGAGGGAACAGAGCAGAACAAAACAAACTCAAAGCCAACTTTTGCCTCAGATGAAGCTGTTTAAGCTTTCAAACAAACAAGATTTCAGATAAGTGAGGGTATTAGTTCACCCAGCTGGACAGGAGTACTTGGGAAAGGTCACTAGGTCCGGCCAGCTGCCAAGAGACAGGGGAGGGGGCCAGTATGAACAGAGAAGGCCTCTGCAGTGACACCTGACTTTGCCGATTATGACTGCTACGTGATGTCAGACCAGGCCTGGTAAGGTCACCACCACAGCCGGTGTTTCAAGGATTAAATGACACCACCAAGCTTAGACTAAGCACCAGATGTAGTCTGGGCCAGGTAACTGGAAGGTTCAGCCTAACAAAGTTACTTCATCTGAAAGAGCCGGAAGGGCTGCTGAATCTGGCTCAGCTGTCAGAACGGTCAACACCTGCATTCCTGATACCTGGTCCTCCAGGGCCCAGCCTCTACCCGCTGGCTCCTGGCATCCCCTCCAACTTATTTCTCTTTTTTCCCTACCTCGGGCACAGGGAATCACCCCGTCTCCAGAGGTGACCACAGGTGATGCACTGGCAGGCATGCACACTCACTTCCTGCTTTCTCTCCCTCTTACCCAGTGTGCTGGCACAACGCCCTAGGCCACCTGGCTTCCACCTAGCCCTGACTCCCATCCTCCTGCAGTTTTTCCTCCCCTCACTCCTGCCCCAGCCTCAGTGACTCCACCTTAAACCCAAGCAGACTTGTTCCGGCCTCAAGGCCTTTGTACTCCATTATCTTCAACTGGACACCGTCGCCAAGGTCTGTGTGGCTGCCACCCCCTCATGCTTCTCACCGCAGAGTTCAGATATCACCCCACACACATACACCTCCCCTGGCCACCTGAGCTAAACGCTGTCCCAGTACCTTGCCCTGGACATTTACTTCTTAGTAATTTAATCGTGGGGCGAGTGCTCGCCATTAAATCGTCGAAGATCCTCGCTTCTCTCCCGCTAGACTTTAAGCTCCCTGAATACAGGAACTTGGTTTGTCTCAGTCAACCCTGGTCACCTGGGCCAGCACCGCCCCGGACACAAAGCAGGGACTCAGTTCTGCTCAATCAATGAATTCTTTCAAGAGAGCTCTTTTCGGGACCAGCAGGTGGCGTGGTGGTTAAGGCGCTGGACACTCCCATATGGCTGACCACGGTTCAAGTTCCGGACCTGGCGGCTTGCTTTCTCTCTCTCTCTCTTACACTCTCTCTATTTCTCTGTGTCTCTCTCTGGTCAAATTAAAATAAATGAATACATTAAATTAAAATAATTTAAAAAAAAAGAGAGAGAGCTCTTTTCAAAGCCTTGCTGCTGCCTGTTTGAGAGCGGTTAAGGTTCAAAAAGACCTTCCAGGACCAACTTCCTTTGCCGGCAGGTTTAAATCACCTTATCCGCCTCCAACCCGGCTTTCTAATGCCAAGGCGCCCTCACCCCGGCCCTGGGCACATCCTCCCCTCCAACACTTGCTTCTTCCCTCTCCCTCCTTTGGGCACACTGAGAAGAAGCGCCTTCCTCCTCGGGCAGCGACTCCACTGCGAATGCACCAGGGTTCTCGCGGGGCTGCTGTCCAACAACCACAGAGGCGGAGCTGGGGGTTCTTCCCGGAGGCGAACACTGCCACCCGGTCCCCTAATCCACCCCGCCCTCTCAGGCCCGGGCTTGCTGGCCTTTCTTAGGCCACGGAACTTTCGGCCGCCAGGAGGAGGCGGGTCTGCGGCTGGGCTCCTCGCCCCGGCCCGGCCCAGGAAGCGCCAGCGCCACTCCTCGGTCAGCACCTCGGGTCTCTTCCCTCGGCCGTGGGAAACTTTCCTACCCCCGGCCGTCCTCCCTCTAAAGGAGGCGCCATCCCCAGGACTGGCTCCCGCACTGTCCCTACGCGTCGCCAAGTCGCCCCCGTTCCTAAGCTGCTAGCTCAGACCCCGATCTACCCCCAAACCTGCCCCTCGGGCCCCGCCTCCAGCCTCCCCGCCCTCCACTCCTCCAGGGGCGCCCGCCGGCCCTCACCGTGGATGTCACGTTCTCCGTCGGCCGCCTGCGCCCCGCAGAGGAGCAGCGATCCCGGCAGGGCGAGGAGCGCCCGGCACCGCCTCGGTCCACACAGCTGCGCCATGACCCGCTCCAACGGGACGCGCAGACCAGGCCTCGAGCTGCCGGCGGTTGGGGTCTCGCGATCAGGTGCGGGAAGACCCTCGCCGCGCACGCGCAGTGGAGGACCCTGTGTCGAGGTGCGGGCGCAGCGGGGGTCGCCGAGGGGCCAAAGAGTCCGGAAGCCCTTTTCTAGGACCTTCGGTGTACCGAGGCGCTGCCCTTTGACGTCGCGATACGTCAGTCCGTTCCTCGCTCGCCCTTTTCCCCCTAGCGACACTCAGCGACCCTCCGGCGCTCAGAACCCCGCCACACCTCCAAGCACTCGGGGTCCCCAGAGTCAATGGCGGAGGTCAGGCAGCAGCTACCGTAGGTGGCCAGCCCGGGGCGGGGCGCACCTGGCGGGGCGGGGTGCGCAGGGCGCAGGCGCAGAGCGTAAGCACCTGAGCGGTGGCTCCCCCGCCCTCCGCGCACCTGCGCCCGCCCCTGCTCGC